TATTATCATTATTGTGGCCACTATGCGATTATGTCAAGTGATTTCTGTGATTATTGAAAAATCCTTGCACATTTTAGACCAAAATAGTAGAAACCTTAGGTTCTTGTGGAAGATAGAGATATATTTGTAACCCTTGATAACTCGTTGAACTATTTTCACAAATATTTAATGCTATTGAATGTGTTTAATCAACATAGAGATATAATAGGTTAAACTAATTGATTATGATTAATTTCACTGGAGAGGGGTAATTAATTAAAATAGAAAAGTTAGGTTTAACAAGATAAGTGAACAATTTTTTTTTTTTATTTATTTGTTTGTTGAGAAATTAATTTAGTGATGGTCAAGTGGAATCAGGAATCCCAATCCGGTAAAAATTCAAATTCTCATCATTGTCGTAATTGTGTATTTTAATTGAAATCCTAAAATTACCTTCTTTTCATTTCTAAATTCAAAGATTTTAATTGTATATGTGCCTTTATCATTAATTTGAATCAACTCTTGAGTAATTGGAGTAGAAAATCTTTGAGGGATCGACTCGGACTCAAAAAGTCCACTCTATTACTTGAATGCGATCATTACATTTGTGATTTGCACTTTTAGGGATCAAGAACATTAAAAGTACCTGAACCTAGAATTAACTTTAAGACACCTTGGTCATTGAGATGAGGCTACATATCAGACATCCAGCGATTATTATTTCTTCCCTTTTACCAAAAAAAAAAAAAGCTCATACTTAGTGTTATTCGAAGGTATTGCAACTTTATAGACTCAATTGTAAAGTCATTCAAAAAATATAAAAATAAATCTCTCTCTCTCTCTCTCTCTCTCTCTCTCTCTCTCTCTCTCCCCCCCCCCCCCTCTCTCTCTCTCTCTCTCGTTATTCTCTTTACCCTCACTATCGGATCCAAACCCTTTTTTCTTAGTGGCTTACGTCTTTAACAAGTTCCACACTCAAATATTCGTACACATTTGGACTGATTTGATCATTAAGGTGCTTGTGATCATCTTTCCCACCATTGGAGAAGGCCATGTACTCTAACGATTTTTCCAAAAGTGTATAGGAAGAAGTTACGTGGACATGAGAATGAGGTGTGATTCATTGGCCACATTCCGTACAAAAAACGAGTTCAACTAATTGGCAAATGAGTTCTACCACATCAAAACACGCCCAAGCCATCGACCACCTCATCTACCAATGCCTCGGGTCCCTTCCAATTCAGCCCTCATCACGAACTGGAGCTACATGTTCCTCGGATCACATGCAAGCCTACACATACAAAACTTGAGGCCATCGATTTGACCACTTTCGGTTGGAATCAATTCTTGGGGCAACTTCCAATTAATTCATGACATACAAAAACCTATATGACCACCTCCATATTATATGTATACCAACTGTAGTAGTAGAAAGCAGATCTACTTGAAGCAATGTTTGCGGAGGTGCCGACGGTGGTGGTAGTAGATTGGATCAGGTGGTAGATGAAGTTGAAGAAATGGGATTAGAGATAAGGTTTCTGCAGTATGTTGGAATGGGGTGCACCTGATTTTTTAAACGAAAATTGTAATATCTGATTATTAAAATGAAAAATTAAGTAGGGATGAGTGTAGTTTCTTCAACGTATAAAATAGTTTAGTGTTCAATCATAGTAGATTGATGATTGTTCTCTTTGAGCAGCCTAATTAAAAATATCAATGATCTAGGAATGGCCTTGTTGAGCTCATATATTTTGTTGGTAGGTCCATGAGAACAAATTATGAACCACTTATAGTATAACAATTTCTTGTAAAGAGATCTCTGTGCCAATAGCAACATCATACTTCAATGAAGTTGTAATATCACCACTGAATCACCCGCTATCCATACAATGAATTTTAACCAAATGAGGGCAAGGAAAATGGGTAAGTATATAAAAGTTATCAACATGATACAATAATCTTTAAATTTCGATTAAACATCTATTCTGTATATTAAATCATCACATCAATATCGTATCATATCATATTGTATAATTTTTGGAGAGAGCCCTTGGTCTCCTATGACATGATATTATGCCCCTATTTAGTGGGGATTAAAATCTTGATTTTTAAGTAAGTCAAAAACAACAATTAAATTTAATGACATATTTCTTGAGATTCACAACTTTTCAATAACACATTTCATTAACTTTTATAAAAATCTATCAAAAATTTAATTTTAATCGGCACCAAACAGGACTATATCATAACATTCATACTTGGGAAAATTTGGCAAACTGTCATATAATCTTCATCTAGTTTTACGTGCACGGAACATCTCACGAATTAGAATTAAAAAGAATGAAAGGATCCGTATAGGACTATATCTCAACATTATATCCAAAATTGCAAGCCTACACGACATGTGCTGTAAAAATCTATGTGACGCATGGCTGATAGTTGGTTTTCAACTGTCCCTATTCGAGTAATTCCTCTAAAAATATGGTCTCACGTAACTTTTCCTTTATCACGTACCACACAACTCAGCCATCTAGAAAACATATTAAATTTTGTTATTGGATCATTGTCATGGCCCTTTTTTTGTTAGCAAATTATCTACTAATAGATTTGTGACATCTCCTCTTTACACCATAATTTTCCCAAAGGATTCTGTTAAGGTTTGACCCAAATTCAGTTGAGTTTTTGATAAAATAATGTTTCCTTTATTCTACCCATTTTGCGATACTATTTCCATTTTTAAGAAAATTGTTAATGTTTTGACATGTCCTCAATGTAAGTGTTATATCCTAAATCCAATCAATTTTGGACATAAACACTTTTAATATATAGTTGATGCAATTTTATGACAGATTTATTATTTAATTAATAGAGTCCATATATTCAAATCTTGGTAATTTGTAAATCACAAAGACTTGTGAGTGTGAAATACAAATTACATATGCTTGAATCTTAAATTATCTGTGATCGTAAGTAATAACGAGATACGGATATTATTATTATGGATAAACTATTACGTGTGACATTTCTTACTTGCGAAGTAACTAGCTCATCTCACAAGTTAAAGTGCGGTAACACTTAAATAAACATGTGAATGTTTTGTTATAGAATAAAATATTGGAGACTCACTGGGAGATTCCACATGAATAGCTCTCTGAGTGTCAGTAGCTAATCTCTAACGTTCCGTAGTAGAATTGGTCATTTGACTTAAGGTAATTTAGTACCTTATATGAGTGCAATCATACTTTGGTGATGTTGGATATTACTCTGCCAAGGGCCGTTAATATCGCATCGTTTAGGTATGTCAAAAACCATATGAAGATTGTAAATAACCAAAGTGGAATGAAAGATATAATCGATAATCGAGATTGACATACTACCATATCTCGTAATTGATCGGATCTTATTGACGAAAAGGGATTATAGGTTCACGATAAATGAACAAGTTTGGTTGTCATATCACGTGATTTTTTCGTCACGTGTATTGCCATGACACGTTGCTAGATGTCAATTTAGAACGACGAATGTAAATTAATGATAAACTAAAATGGGTGTTTTAATTTATCGATTTTGATTATATCAAAATAATAATTCACGTCGTTAGGAATCGTGATTGGAAATTTAATGGGTCACACATAAAAGGGAACTAGAAGAATGAGAATTATCATTTAATTAATTGACAATATTTAATTAATTGGGTTGCTTATTAATAGGCCCAAATTAATTAATTAATTCGTGGATCAAATTGAATTAATGGGAATAGAAATATGGATGCAATCCGTCCATTGGGGCTTCATCCGCAAAGTTTTGAAATGTTTGGGATAACGGTTGCCACAAATGAAAGCTTAGGGAAAAATCTACAACTTTTTGAAAGGTTTGGAGCCTCATCTGAAATTATCCTTAATTAAATATTGGACCTGGTTAAGTTTAAAAGACGGGTCAAACCCATTTAGGCTTATATAAATAAACTGCTTGAGCTTGAAAACTATAGAGATTTTCATTCTTCTTGCTAGCACAAGAAAAGTAAAATCCTGATTCTCTCTCAATTTTGTTTTCTATGTGGATTTTCATTGGAAGTTGGACAATTGGACAGTTGTGGGTGTAGATAAAGATTGTTGAAACGAAAGAATAACAAAGGAGTTTGCAGAATTCAAGAAAAAAAATAATTTCTATCTAAACACAAAACAGATCTTTGGTGGGAATTGAAATAAATTTTATTTTCAATTGTATATGATTAAGTAAATTCCCAACAGTGGTACCAAAGCCTGCTTTGTGGTTGTCAGAAATTGTTTTACATCAATATTGATGTAGTCAAAAGTTGATAATTCATGTTGTTCTTGAATCTAGCAATTACAAAATTAATTTTTTTCCTTCAAAATCTCATTAGTGTGTGTGTGTGTGGAGAATGATCTTTTAAGTACCGGTGACATGACAAATTATTTAATGATTCCTATGTATTTAATTAGTCGCCAATTAAATGAAATATCATGTCACCGGTGCTTAACATAAGCTAAGCACTGGTGTTTAGAAGATCATTTTGTATATATATATTTTCATGACGGATTCCAGAAGAAAAGCATCAATTTTCAGAATTTACTTTTCGATTTTTTCGATCAAGAATGGAATTTGAAAAAAAGGAAATTCCAAATTCCCAAAAATTCACCGCTGTGAGGATGGCACTGCAGCGCTAAAGGCCTGAAGGGCCGCACTAGTGCGCTTGGCCTCGTAACACCAAGTTATATGGTTTGTGGCATTTTTTAATTAAAAGTAACATAGTATGTTTTGCCACTTTTTAGTTAAAATGTCATACAATCAAATTTCTATTAATAGAATGATTCATCTTTGGCTAACTTTTCAATTTGAAAAGATCGTGATTTTTTATGATCAACATTATCGAAAGAGTTCGAAAAATTTGCCGAAGGTATAATTCTAATCACGATTTCTATTTAAACACAAAAACGATTCTTGAAGGGAATTGAAATTATTTTGAATTTCAGCATACATGTATAAATAGATTCCCAATATGTCACATGAGGAACAACAATATCTTTATATATTATAGCACGAAATTACACTTATTATATATTATATATCAGTACAGCAGTAACATAACAACTTAGCAACATCTCACTGGTGATAATTACTGTAATTGCTGCTCAGAATCACACACAGGCAGCTTTTATTTAGTTTATGTTACATATACAGCTGCAGTATCACCAATTGATTACATATCAAGTTATGGAACTCATTCAGCATCGGTAGTAGTGGCAATAGCAAGCAAAACCACCCGAGTTTTGCATCATACAAGACCCGGAGTAAGCTCCTTCGGATTGCATGCAGTATGAGTTACATCGGTAACCGACACATCTCGAACGATATCCTTTGCTTGGCCTTGTGCATTTTGCCTCCCCGATTTGAGCCTCTGCCACGAAATTGGATTGGTTTAAGCTAAATACCATAATAAAAATCCTAACATATATGATTTGGTACTTCCATTTTAATTTATGATAATGTCAAATGTTTTTAGCATGAAAAGGCAATGAAGAATAAGTGAAATATCAACCTTTGATGTATAGCAATGTTTATTGTATCAATAAAATGGAAAAAAATAGAAAAATAAAAAAAATACTGTTCTTTGTGTGTCTGTAAGAAATATCAAGAAATAAAATGTAACTACGCTACATACCGAAGGCTGCAAGGATGAGGAAGCAGAAAAAGAGTGAAAGAAAGGTAGTCTTGTTGCTGTCAAGAAGTTTAACCATAGCTATATACTCTTAATTTCAAGTGTTTTGTGATAGTATTCAAGCTAAGAAGATGTATTTATAGATGGAAAAAGTCATTATTCAACAGAGTTTTTTCCATTTTTTTCCCAAGTTGTTTGCAAGAGTGATTTGCAAAAACAAATTGAAAATGAATGACACCTTAATGGTTCGTCACATTAAGCTATGACTGATTCTTATTCAATGATAAGTATGAAATAATTAACATAATTACAGGTTGATCCTAGAAAGTTGAAGATGAGATTGCATGTGTATGGTGGTTTAGAGACTAAATATAAATTTATATAATAATCTTGTGCTTGACATTCACCAAGTCTTTGCACCGAAATTGCAGTAAAAGGTGTTAAGACTTGGAATCCATCTTAATAAGGTCAACCTTATTAAGTGGAGAAGTTCAAGATATTTATAAATTGGTATTTATTTCGATATTAAACCGATGTGAGATAACGTATCCCGACCCCCTCAAGATGATGGCTCATTTGAGCGGACCAATCTTGAAATCCACGGGTTGGCTCTGACACCATATTAAGATTTAAGGTCCATCTTAATAATGTCAACTTTATTAAGTGGAGAAGTCCAAGATCTTTATAAATTGGTATTTATTTCTATATTAAACCGATGTGGGATAACACATCCCTTAACAAAAGGCATTCTTAAAATACACATAATTGTAAAATTAGTACGACGTATTATAACATATTATAAATATAAAATACCAAACCAGTGTTCTGAAATTTCATCTGGATCATTGTCATTGTGAGCAATACACATGGAGAAATATAAATATATTAATCTATTCTTTAAATCTTCTAATTCTATTAAACATAATTATTTTATTTATCTTTGAAAGGACAGGTAGGCTACCAGTATTTTTTATTTCATTTTTTTAGCTGAGGTGAACAATAAATTATAAATCATGGCCGGCAAGTTAAAATTAGACATAACCTTTTCTTAATGTGTCAATCTCAAGCAAACTTTGATCAAGTCATACACTATTACTTCTGGATTTATTATATTTAAATTGAATTGTTGGATCTTACTTTAGTAATAATGGCTTCATTCTGAAGTTTTGTTTCAAGTTAGTAGCCTATTTCAGTTTACTTTTAACTGTTGCACAAGGGGAATGTGATGATTGACAGTAGTGCAGCAAGTTAAAACAGACAGTTCTTCTTCTTTTAATGCTGTAAATTTTTGGGATACTGTAGCTTCGCTTCGAGAAGTTTGTTGTGATTCATGCTGCTTTCTTCTTCTTGATGGAAATAATGTAACTCACAAGCTAACTTCTTTTGCTATAACTTTCCCATCTATTCATGGCTAGATTGATTCTATTCCTGTATGTGAGGTGGATTACTTAAATCCACTTAGCACATGTTAATTGGTCTTGAGGACTTGGAAATGACTGCGCCAGTTAATGTGTATCATGGTCCATGGACCATAGATTAAATTCGGATTTAATCTTGTTGTCAACCACCCTGCTAGTCATGTCACATACATAGTACAATTTTTGAATTTGAATTCAAATGGTTTTGGCTCTATAATTACAAAACTTCTTCACTTGTTTCACTTGAACTTGACAAAACAAAAGAGAGAAAGCATAGAGTGGTAGCTAAGTGGGAGAGACTTGTTCTCCGGTGATATTCTTGGTGGCCTCTAACTGATTCCTTTCTCGATATATCCATTGCCATTTCCATAGCCGATGGTGCATTGATCCTGTGAAGCACAAATCTGATATCAACATCGTAAAACACATTGGTGCTGAGGTTAAAGAAGATTTAAGTCAGTCGGTTCGGGTTTTTTACCCTTTGGATGTTATATTTTCACATTGTAGTTGTGATGATCATTTTACTCTACATTATAAACTCTACTAATGGTATTAGAGCTTGTGCTGTAGGAAATTTGTGAAAAAAAAAAGCTGGCTGGAACATGACCTGGAATGAAGCAGGAAACGGGAACATATTTTGCAAAACTGCCAGAACAAACCAATGGACGGTTTTCTGGAGGGCAAATTCGTGATTTGCAGACCAAGGTGCAGCTGGGTGGTAGGCGCATGATGGCAACAACAATGCATGTAGTGGAGCATTGAGCCCGTGCGCACAACTGTGATGAGAGACGTGTGGCAAAATCCAGTGATGGTGAAAACAGACAGTTTGCTGATTGTGGATTTTTGACCTCCTGGTGGTGTTGGTTTTCTATTTGGTGTACTGTGAATGTAGACATAGCCTCGGACAAAAAGATGTAGTGGAGAAAGCCTTTTCGTTGGTGACCAATCGTGGTTCCTATGGTTGCCGTAGTCATTGGATGATTTAGGAAAGCTTGTGGTGGCCTTAAATTTGCAAAAGACTCATATCTCTCCTTAAAATACGAACCAACAAATTGGTTCGCTTGGTTTTCGCGTTCTAACACCCTCTCGAATTTACAATTGTGATATTGTGATTTTTGCAACCATACAATTTGTAATATTTGACTCTTGCGATATTGTCAATATGTTACTTGTGATATTATCATTTGTATCTTCTTGAAAAGTAATTTATATAAAAATTAGTTTGAACTCGCACTTTTGTGTCTGTGAATTATTTGAGCAAAAACTTTTCCAAAAAACATTGTTTTGCTATCATGGGGTTTCTAAAGCTCTTGACGACCTAGAAATATATCCTAAGTAATTATTGAGATAAATGAAATCGCACATAGCTCTTTTGTGCTGCATTTATTGGATAATGTGCACAAATTGAACAACATTTGAGCAAAAACTTTTCCAAAAAACATTGTTTTGCTATCATGGGGTTTCTAAAGCTCTTGACGACCTAGAAATATATCCTAAGTAATTATTGAGATAAATGAAATCGCACATAGCTCTATTGTGCTGCATTTATTGGATAATGTGCACAAATTGAACAACATAAGACTACCAAAGAATTGTGGGAAGCACTTGACAAGCTATTTTTGGAAATATCTCTTCCAAACAAAACATATTTGCTTCAAAAAAATTTCAATTTTAAGCTGGATTCGAGAAAGGATCTTGAATCCAATTTAGGTGAATTTAATAGACTCGTCAAGTCTTTGGCCCACAAATGATAAGAAATTTAGGTGAATTTGATGATGAGTATCTAGATGTTATATGGCATGTTGTCGCAAGCATCCAAATATAATTAAACCTACACTTTCAAAAAAATATATGTAGTAGTGGACGTAAGGATTGTTCCCATGAAGAGTGATTAGTCTGATTTTATCCAATGTTAAAAATAACGTGGGGTTTTGTTTGTGATGAAATCAATTCTAGCTAAAAACAATGCAATTTAATAAATTGGATTAAATCAATAGAACGAACTTTGGTCTAAATCAATATCCACCATAAGAATTTCGAACTGATTATAGATCTATAACTAATTACCAATTCATATTTTTAGTATTCGTTGTTGGAATTTGTATTTCATATTTCTTTTTAGTTGTAATTAACTGGAAAACAAGTGATCTAATCAATCCTTATTATCAAATAACCCAAGAAAAGTACTTAAGATTTAATTTAATAATAGCATGGAAAACTAGAGAAATCGATGAAACTAAACAACACAATCACAAGTGGTAATGATTAATCTAGTCAAATATCCTCCCTAGAATTTAATAACCTTTAAAGCAACGATTAATCAAACTCTAGTTGCTTCATAATGTCAAAAATATCAAACAATTACGTATTTGTTCTTTAAATAAGCAGTCGATCGAAATACATGAACATCTAATAGGTCTCTTAGAATTCAAATACAACAACCATAAAATCATGCATAGAAGAATAATCAATATATAAAATATGAATAAAAACAATAAAATTTATTTAGATCTCACATTTTGAATAATTCCTAAGCTTCAATATCCTTCGATCAAGAGATAAAGTTTAACAATACATCAATTATCCTTAAGCAAAAAGAGAGAAAAGACTATTGTGTCCGTTCTTCGCCTCCAAAAATACGTAGAATATACGATTTTTAGGTCAAAAAGGAGGTTCCCTACGTTCTGGCATCTTTAGGTATATATATGATGTCAAAAATATTGTTTCCATGTAGAATTAGAACAAAGACAACCTTGTCTCATTGTTTTGAGCAACAAACACTAGAGAAATTGTCGAAGGATAAGCCAAGAAGATACGGATCTTGTTAAAATAGAAGCATTAGAATCGTAGGATGAACTTCCGAACGATGATCATGAAAATAGTGGTAATCTAAAGATACATTGAGAAGAGCTCAAAGAAGAGAGTAGAGAAGAGGTCAAAAGGAGACGGTCATTATCTAATCCAAAAGAGGATGGCAAAATCAAATAGTAATGGTAAGGAAGCTAGTAATAATTCAGCATTAACAAATCGCTAGGGTCAAGGTAATTCACAACTTAAATCTCATTTGATCGAGTTAATTGATTATAAGAATGAAATCACATATCTTGATGAAGATGGTATAAATATATGGGTAATAATAGCAGGCGACAGCTTTATAATTGCATGGTTTTGGATAACGAAAGTTAAATATTTTGTTTGGGATCGCATTTGATCGAATGCAAAATTAACATTTTTGGACACTTACATTGGATCCTTTCAATTTCACTAGAGAAGGTTGAGTCCATTGTCGACAAATTAATCTAGTAGTGAAATTAGGCGAGGAACCTCGAGCATACCAATGATACGTGAATTTTCTCATTTTCGATAATAGAATCCTTGAAAGGCCTACTATGGAACAAGCGGATACAGTAATAACTCTTCGCCAATTATGTGTAAAATTCCCTACCAACACTGGACTCAGCTCAATAATGTAAGAGAGGTAGCTCCAAAACTCCCATGGCAAATATGATAACAATGGTTAAAACAAACCACCCAGAGGAGAATTTGAGGTCAATGATTCAATCAGCTCTTGCATCCTTGAATGTGTATCCGAAGCTACAGCACTTAAAGAACTAGAAAGCATTCCAGCCGTCAAAGAGGGCCAACCAAGGGTTTGAAAGTTGTCAAAGATTTAGTGGAATATATGAAAAGCCTATTAAAAAACTTCGTGAAGGAATATCTCCACGTGTTTGCGTGAAAACATGCAGATATGGTTGAAATGGATCCAAAAGTGACATATCTTGCACAACAAAATCGATTTCAAAGTAAAAGTTGAAATGCAAAAGAGGCAACCAATGATCTCCGAAAAATATGAAGCTTCAAAAACGAAGTTGATAAACAATTGGAAAACAATTTTATTTGCAAAACTCAATATCGATTGTTCTGCAACCTAGTTCTAGTCCCAAAAAGTAATGGGAGGTGACGAATTTGCCAAGATTTCACATACTTGAATAAAGCTTGTCCCAAAGACTACGCTCTCCAAAATTGATAAACTAGCGGATGTGACTATAAGACCCAGATTATTGAACTTGATGAAAAGCATACTTTGTGACTGATCAACGTCTATATTACTACAATGTAATGTCATTCAGGTTGAAAAACAGTGGGATCACTTGTTAAAAACTGGTCATTAAAATGTTCGCATATCATATAGACCAAACAAGTATACATCAATAATATGCTTGTCAAAAGCCTTTGGGCAAAAATCATTTGTAACATCTAGAGGAAACCTTCAATATATCCAAAAATATCATTGAATGTCATTACCATTTGGGGCACATGTGCATCAAGTTGATTAAGCCATTTGTGTCGTATGTGTATAAACAACAGTTATACTACACATACAGAAAAACTTTCATAGAATTCCACCAAAAAAACTTTCTTAGAATTCCACTTGGCACATTATAATTGGCTCTTGTCAAATCACAAAACAAGGCACCATATAAGTGCAATGTTGGTGCCTGTGAGAAAAACCCAATACATGGAATAATTCTGTAAACAAATGGGCTCTTCGTATTTTTTTAAAATGGTTGTGCTTTTGGGGACCTTCTTCTGTAAAGATATCAAAATAGAGCTGGTTGCACTTTATATCGAGTAGGATGTGTTAAAGAGGCATGTGATCGTCCAATTAATTTCATATGCAAATGTTTAGAAAAATTTATTGTTTATCGAGTTGCTTTTGTTAAATTTTTTTATTAAAATTTTTATTTCCTGAAAGTTTGATCGAGTGGATTATTCAAATATTCATTGAACTTCTTAAAATGTTTATACAGGATCACTGAACTTTAAAAATCATCCAATTCTTTACTAAACTTTGCAAAAGATTTCCACGAGATCACTAAAATTTAAAAATCACCTAATTAATTACTGAACTTTGCAAAATATTTCCCCGAGATCACCAAAGTTCACTGACCCTGTGAAAAACTTTTGCAAAGTTCAATATTGAATGGAGTGATTATTAAAGTTTAGTGACCACGTAAAAACTCTTTACAAAGTTCAATGACCATTTGGATAATTCACTTAAAATTAATCTTATGTTTAGTTGACATCCATTGTCGACCCATCACATTTGGAGTCCACTAGAATGATTTGAAACAAGTTGTGATTTAGAACCCTGTCCTCACTTTTCTTCTCTTTTTCTTTTTTTTTTTTTTTATTTGGAGTTGAATAAAACTTATTCATACTTGATCCACAAAGATTTAGAGAAACAATTTTATGTGAAGCGATGTATATTATTATAGTTCTAAAAATATATTTTTTCATGTTCAACACATAATTCGACTACTTTCGACTTGAAGTATGCACAATGTCACGGACTTGCTAATTTCCTTCAAGAACCGTGCGGCCTTAGTGTCTTCAACTTCCGCCCCCGCGGTTATTACACTAAGTCAGCCTCTCGATTGGCGTTGATGTCTTAAAAAGGCACTAAGTAGAACACTTTAAGAAAGGGACAATGAAGGAACACAAGAACTTACAAAGAAAGCTTTGTATTGAATAAGGAAGTACTTTACAACTTCACTCTCTTGATCCCTTCAAATGAATCCTACCAAACTATTTATAGTAGTAGCCTCCTCAAATGGATAGCTAGGATCTTTTCTATCCAATGGTCTAGATTACACATCTAGAATTATCTATACAAATATTTACATTAAAATATTTATGGACTAAACTAGGATGATCTAGAATAATCCACCAAGTGAGGAGCTTGTAGGCTTCTAGAATGTCCCACCATATTTTAGCAATCTTCATGCACTTGTGGGAGTCTAGAATATTCCGGTTAGCCCCAAGTCGTCAACATTTTAAATTTCTCGATCTTTTTGTGCCAAAATCGAGTGAGTCCTGACATCCTCCCCTGCCTATTTGGGCGACGCCCTCGTCGCCGCGCAATGCTTTAGTTTGTCTTCGAACTGCCACAAGTCTTCTTGACTTTCCCACGTTGCTTTGGACTCGGGCAATCCCTTCCACTTTATCAAAAATTGTTGACAAGGAGGCACTCCACGCCTTCGAACGATGCGATCTGCTAGAACCTCATCAACCTCCTTGTCAAATGACTTAGTCACAATCGGAGGTGCCCGTTGTGACTCCCCTCGGCTAGGATCTTCCATGTCTTCATGATATGGCTTTAACATGCTCACATAGAAGACGGGATGAATCTTTAAAGTGCTAGGTAGGTCAAGGCGATAAGATAC